ACGGCACATAACAACAACAACAACAACTATATATATATATATATATATATATAAACTTTCTTTAGCTTAATAAGACCCTTTGCTCTTCCTGTCTTTACTCATGGTGCCTTGGTTTTTTGCATAGTTGTGACCAATGTGTATATTCAATTTTGAGTTCATTTGTTTCTAATTTTAATATTACTGTCATAGTGTTCCAGTGTATTGACATGGAAACTTTTAGATTCATATTGTTGATAAATTAGGGAACAACTCATTGTTATTCCTACTAGCATTGAATAATTTTTCTGTTTTTCAATCTGTGGGTCTTGACCAACATTTAAAAAAAAAAATTAGTATTGAAAATAGCAGAATTGTTTCATGAAATGCCTGTTTTAGTTTATGTGTGGATATGTGTATTTACTGAATCATGATATAAAATGTATGTTTACTGAGGGTTGTGGTCAAAAATATTTTTTAAAATTCCCTGGATTAAGTAATAATGAGTCACATCACATTTTGAGGGTTTTATGCCACATTCTAAAGAGGATGTTTAATTTCCCAGTCATGCTCTGTGAGTTGCTTCCTTAGGGTGATGCAAACTTGCAGCAGTAGTAGGTAAAACAGTTTAGTCATAGACTGCTTTGCTCCAAAAAACTAATAATTACGTGAAATATAACTATGTAGCCCCTCTGCCCAGCAATGAATATAGATAAAATATTTTTAAAAATAATATTAGTAATCAAAAAAGCCCATTAAGCATATATAAATAAATTGTACTATATGCCAAATATATCATACCAAATAAAACACAGGAGTAAAATTTTTAAATATGAAGAATGTACAGTGTTAGTACTTTGGTTAATATGTTTGCTTATACTTTTCCTTTGGCTATTTTTTTATCTGAGGAAAGCTAAACTTAGTTCCATTATTAAACCCCATACTTTACAATCAGTTTTCAAATTCATTTTATAAGATTCTTTTGTTTAAAGTGAAAAACTGTTTTCCAGTTTTGAAATTCAAAGCTGTATTCACGTCATTATTTCATCTCCTTTACTCCCTTACTTTGTTAGCAATCATCTCATTCACCTATAACTTTGCCCACTCTGATTCGTTTCTTATGATACACACCACACACACACACACACACACACAGAGTTGTGTTATTTATTTCCAGCTGTTTCTGGTTAACTCAAGGGCTTTCTTAGTGAATGACTTAGCATGATTCAGCAGCCCAACTTTGTCTCTGGGGAGCCAATTTTACTTTTTTTTGTGTTGTTGTTAGTTGCCATGGCATTGATTCAGGTTATTCAATGTATTTCTACAAGAAGACAGATTTCTTCCAGTTTACTGTTTCAGTGCAGCTAAGTGATGATAAATATCCAGACATGTTAGAGTAAAGTAGACTGGAGTTGGAATACCAGCACTGGAAGAAATTCTGTGGTTCAGAGGTAAAAGAAGATTGTTTTACATTTATTTCCATCTGTTTGTATAGAGTGAATTTTGTTAATCAATTTTGGTATGGAAGAAAAATCATGTTATTAACTGATGAGAGGAGGGAAGACCATAGCCTGAGGATCACATAATGACAGTCTGAACTAACTGGATACCATGATGTTTGTTATCACCTGTTTTGTTGTGAAGTATTTCTGCAGTGTCTGACCTATGCTCCAGAAGTTCCTGTATGGGAAATTCCTCATCATGAGGAAAGTTTCCACAATTGAGAAGCAGAAAAAGGTTATGTTCTTTGTAGTTATTTCAATGGTGATAGGTCTCTATGTCAGTCTATAAAAGTTTTTTTTCCACCCACCCAATATACCTCAATTTTTAAAAGTACATATAGACCTAGTTACCATGAGAGAATTCTTCCTGGCATATGCCTGGAGGCAGGACTCCACTTGAGAGTAGGGATCACTGCTGGTATCTCCTGGGGCCAGGGTGGAGCCTCTAGCAGGGTAGAGATCCAGGGGTAGTGACAGCTGGTTCTGGTTTCTCTTTGTGACTGGAAGACTAGATATGTGTTGCTTAATGTCCATGATATGTTGTGAAATTGGACATTACATAATTAGGACATATGTGTGAACACCATATTAAAACCTTATGGGATCCTGCTTCCAGTGTCCTCATTGTAGTTGCTGCCATTGGAGCTGCTAGCAGAAACCAGAGGAATGGGGGTGATGTCAGCAGCAACAGTGGCTGAGTGTGAGTGAGAGGAAGCTAGTGAAGAGGGAGCAGAACGTGCCCAGCCCTGCCCACTGTTCCATTTGCCTGAGCAGCAGGAGCAGCCCCCACCGCATTGCCTGCCTGCTGGACAAAGTGTCAGAGCCTATACCCAAAGCCATGTCCTCTGCCTCAGCTGCTTGTATCCCACTTGTGGTCCAGAACTGCAAGAGTTTGGGGTTGGGGGTCTTTAAAACCTTTGTTGTTGTTGTTATGTGCCATCGAGTTGGACCCAACTCATACTGACCCCTCCTTGGGTTTCCGAAGTGGTATCACTACGGAAGTAGATTGCCCAACCTTCCTTCCAAGGAGTGGCTTCAGGGGGAAGTAATAAACAAAAGCAGAACTGTTTATCATCCACCCACCCTTTAAAAAAACAACAACCTTATGGGAACACAGACATACATGCAGTTGGACATTATCTGAACTGACATTAAGTGATGCATACTAGTAGCACACCTTGGAAGGAAGGTTGGGCAATCTACTTCTGTAGTGATACCACCTCAGAAACCCAAGGAGGGGTCACTCTGATTCGGGTCCCACTCAAAGGCACATAACAACAATAACAACAACTAGTAGTTTGAATGGCTCTTGCTGATAGCTTCACAATGCTTTGTCTCTATGCTGCACTCTTGCATCTGGTGACATGGTGCATACATTTGCCTGAATTGGTATTGAGGGACAAGTTCTGAAAGTATACCAAAACCTGGGGTGCTGTACAACTCATAGCAACTCTATAACACAGAATAAAAGTGGCCCATAGATTCCAAGACTAATCTTTATGGAAGTAGACTGCCTTATCTTTTTCTCATGGAGTGGCTAGTGTGTTTGAACTACCAAGATTTTTGTCATTAGCCAAGCGCTTAGCCACTATACCACCAGGCCTCTTTTGTGAAAATATAATGTTTGAAAATGTCTCATTGAGATTTTGTCAAATTACATACTTTCTTTTGTATTGTGTTTCAGAATTAAAGCCATAGAGAGTCCCAATAAAGAAGATGATACTCAGTGGCTGACCTACTGGGTAGTGTATGGTGTTTTCAGCATTGCCGAATTCTTCTCTGATATCTTTCTGTCATGGTTCCCCTTCTACTACATGCTGAAGGTATGCTGACTTCTGAACTGCTTTATTTCCTTCCAAATATAAATTTACTTTACTCCCTCCACTCAGATAAATTCCAACACAGGTCCTGAGTACAAGGAAGAGGAATAAATGCTTTGATCTGGTACATCTGTGGCTCTGCCTCAGATTATAAACAAGAAAACAGGATTTGACATGGCTAACTTCCTTTGGGGAGCTCTGGTGGCATAGTGCCTAAGGCATTTGACTGCTAACCAGATTCAAATGTGTTCAAAATGTGTTTGATAATAATGTTGTAATAATACTGTTGTATGCCACTGAATCAATTCCGACTCATAACAACCATACAGGACAGAGAAGAACTTCCCAGTACGGTTTCAAGGCTATAATCTTTACAGAAGCAGACTGCTACATCTTTCGCAGAGTGGCTGGTAAGTTCAAACTGCCAAACTTTTGGTTTAGCAGCCAAGTGCTTAATCACTGCACCACCAGAGCTCCTTTTGATAATAGTAAGGAATGGAAATCCTGTGCTCTAGCACAAGCATTGCTGTTCATTTGTTAACATCCTGTCTTCATGCAGTGTTGTCTACATTCGATGCAGTAGCATTCCAAATTTTGGCAGCCATTGATTATTCACAGTAGTCAGCAGGAGTCATTGTTTCTGGAAGAAGAAATACATATTTCTTACATAGTTTTACAGAAAAAAGATGTGACATAGGCTCTCTGAGGAATTTATTTTAATGATTTTGGCAGGTGCAGTAGTCAAGGGTCAGCCTTGCCAAACTTTGTGTCTGGCAGAGGATTAGCCTTAATTACCAACATGTGGGGAAAGAGAACAGGAAGTGGAAAGAAACTTTTCATAATGGGACCTCTGTCAACTCCTAACTTGCACCAGAGGTGAATGAGGATGAAAAGTCCTGGTTCAAACCCACCAGTCACTCCTCAGAAAGAAGACTGGGCAATCTACTTCCATAGAGATACTGCCTCAGAAACCCAAGGAGGGATCACTATGAGTTGGGACCAACTCCACAGCAGTGTTTTTTTGTTTTGTTTTGTTTTCAATAGATGGAGTGGTACTTCTGTCCCTAAATGGAACAAGGTGTCTTCAGTTGATTCCTCAATTATCATGGAAGAAGCCCTGCTTTCATTTAGTTGCATATGATACAAATAATGCCTGAGGGTCAAAGAGCCAAACTTTCAAGCTGGACAAGCTCAGTGGGGTGATGTGTCCAGCCCCTGTAAATTCTGGGTTCTCTTCTATCCCTTCTTTTTATTATTTGTTTTTTATAAAAGTTACATATGACATAGATTAAAGACTCAAATATAACCAAAAATCAAACTCACTGCCATTGAGTCAGATCCAACTCATAGCGACCCCTCCTTGGGTTTCTGAGGCAATATCTCTATGGAAGTACATTGGCCAATCTTCCTTCCTAGGAGTGGCTGGTGGGTTTGAACCACCAGACTTCTGGTTAGCAGTCAAAAAGACTAAAATAGTTTTGTAAAATTTTGAAAAGGAAAGAGCAATCTGCTCCCCTGCCACACTTACACCCCCTATCCCTCACCTCCATTTTTTTAAAAAATAATACTTTATTGAGTTTTTGGTGAACATTTTACACCGCAACTTAGGTTCCCATTTGACAATTTCCACACAAATTGTTTTGTAACATTAGTTAACATTTATCACATTGTGTCAGTATTCTCTTTAATTGTGTTCAATTTGTTTCCTTTCCAGTACTCTAGTTATCCTGCCCCCTTATCTTCTCATCTTTGCTGTTGAGTAACTGTTGACCTTTTCATCTCCTACTGACAGTTTTTAAGTGGGGCAAAGATCTTATAGGTAATATCCTTTATTTTGTGTGCCTCTTGGCTATTTTGCTATAAGGTGATCTCAGGAGATAGGCTTGGTTCTGAGTTTAAAGTGTGTCTCAGGGCAATAGTTTTGGGGAGTCCTCTGTTCTTTACTGTTCCATTTTGTCTGTTTTTTTTTTTCTTTCTTTCTTTTAAATTAAATTATATTTTGAATTCTGCTTTCTATTTTTCTTCCATTCTATCTGGGACCAACTATTGTGACCCCAGTGAAAATGGTCAGTTTAGCCTCCTTTAAAGCAACCACTCACTTTACTTAAGGAGCTCTGGTGGTGCAATAGGTAAGGTGTTTGGCTGCTAACCAGAAGGTTGGTAGTTCAAACCCACCAGCTGCTCTGTGGGAGAAAGATGAGGCAATCTACTTCCGTAAAGATTTACAGCCTTGGAAACCCTATGGAGGTTGCTGTTGAGTCCAAATCTACCTGATGGTGGTGGGTTTTGGGTTTATCACTTCCAAAGGGGCAGGGAGGCTGCATCTTCTGACCTCTAACCCCACAAAAGGAACACAGAATCACCACCAATAGCCCAAGGCCTATTCCTGTGAGGCCAAACATGCTGCCTCCCTCCAGCCCTTTCATCAACCCTGACACCAACCATTCCTCCTGCAGCACCCACCACCTTTCTGCTGAGTTCAATAATTTGCTGCAGTGGCCACACAGAACTCACAGATTATGGGTTGTATTAAGGAAACACCAGGCTACAATTCAAATTCAGGGACAACGCTCAGTCTCTCTCACTCTGCCGTCTCTCAGCCAACAGTCTCTCCCAGTCTCTCTCCCAGCAGTGCGTGTCTCTCAATATATCTCTCTCAGCAATGTGTGTCTCTCTGTGTCTCCTTCTCAGCAGCGTGTGTCTCTCAGGAGCACGTTTCTCTCAGCAGCATATCTTTCTCAGCCAGCAGTCAGAGAGACTCTTTCTGTCTCTAGGAGGGCTCCTTTTGAGCTTGGCAGAGTGGCCAAACTAACCAATTATAACATCAGAATTCTAAGCACCTGAGAGAGTGTGAACTTCCCAGAACATTGCTTTGTAGCACTCTCAACAGAAATACCCCAGGACAATCAGGAGCTCCTCAGTTGCTCACAAATTCACCTCGGAGTTTACAAAGACTTATGACTAGAAAACCCATACCAGGTAATTTGCTACACCATAATCACTTTATTTATGGGAGATTATTTTGTCATTTACCTCTGTCTCTATCTAATATGCTTTTTAGCCACCTTTTTATTTTTCTATTCCATGGATTAGCTCTTGAGTTAAACTGGAAGATAAGGATATCACTCTCTTTCCTCATCTCTGCCACACACATGTAGTCTTCTCATATCTTTATCCTCCTAATGCATCTATATCATAATTTTAGTTTGAAAAATATTTATTACTCATATTATTCACTGCTCAATACTGTTCACAGTTGGGCTATATAGTGTACCTGTAGTATTCTTGCCGTTTGTTTATTTCCCCTGGAACTAATCATTGTTTTTATATATTTAGGCCTATTCTTAGCATCCTTATTATTTCAGTTTGTCTTACCTTTTCTATATTTCTATTTACCTTCTGTTTAAAATTTATATCTAAAGAAATGTAGGAAACTCTTCTCATTCTCTGGTGTCCTTCACTCCAACTACCATTATGTTTATACTAAGTTTTAATTCTGGGTAATTATGGATATATTTTTCATTTTCATTGGCCTTAGTTTTTTTTTTTTTTTTTTTTTTTTTTTTTTATAGTCCTACTTCGAGTTGGAGTTACTCAATCTGATGTGGGTTTGGTCAGTATTGTTCCTAGGTTATATTATATCTATTCTGCAATATATAG